TAAGAAAAGAGCAGGAAAATATGTAAGTGAAAATGTATTATGGGCCAGGCATGGTGGCACATGCCTGTAATCCCAGCACTCCAGAGGCTGAAGTAGGAGGATCATCATGAGTTGAGGCCAACCTGGGCTACATTCTTAGTTCAAGGCCAGCCTGAACTGTATAGCAAGACCCTGCCTCAAAAACAAAGCCAAAGAAAAAAGAAAATATATTATGGTCAATGATTCAATTGTGGCAAAATCAAAATGTCCCTAACTAGTGGTGTTAAAAACCTGCCTGAGGGCTGGGGATTTAGCTCAGCGGCAAAGCGCCTGCCTGGCAAGCGCAAGGTCGTGAGTTCAGTTCCCGGTACTGGAGAAAAACCAAAAAAAAAAAAAAAAAAAAAAAAAAACCTGCCTGATGTTTTTCAAGAAGCAAAGTTTCAAAAAGTATTTAATAGCTAGGCATGGTGGCACATCCTGTAATCTCAGCTTTTTAGAGGCTGAGGCAGAATCACTGTGAGTTCAAGGGCAGCCTGGGCTACACAGTGAGACTCAGTCTCAAAAACAAAAAATAGAAACAAACAAACAAACAAAAAACTATTTAATAAAGAAAATGGAAAGGAAAAACAAATGCTTCAGAACTTAAAGAATAATACACATAGAAATAAATAAAAATGTATTGGGTTTTATTATGTGTAATACAACATTAATCATCCAGATTAAACAGGAGGAAAGAAGTCTGAATTATTCACGTGAAGAATATAAAATGGAATAATAATAATAGCTAATATTGTTCTGAGCTTTAAATCCCAACCTAATTTATCACTAGTTAACAGTGTTCTGAGAGCTTGAAAAATGTCCACTGACAACAGTGACTCTCAGATTTTTTTTGGTCTCACAACTCCTTTTACATCTCTTAAAAACTATTGAGGTCCTTGAAGAGCTTTTGTTTATGTGAGTTATATGAATCTATATTTACCATATTTGAAATTAAACCACATTTTAAAAATATGTATTCATTAACTCATTTAGAAATACATAAACCCATTATATGTTTACATAAATAACATAATTTTATGAGTATAATTATAGTTTCCAAAACAAAAAATAAATTTAACTGGAGGAATGGTACTGTTTTGCATGTACAAATCCCTCTAATGTCTGGCATAAAGAGAAGACAGCTGGATTTCTGTATCTAGTTCTGCATTCAATCTGTTGTAATATTACATATCAAGTAGGCTTTGCAAAACTTCAATAGACATTCATGAAAAAATGGGAACAAAAATAGCTAATATTGTCATAGCTTCATTTTGAAAGTAGTTTGATTTCACAGCCACCTGGAAGGGTCTTAACAACATACAGGGGCCCCCCAAACCCTACTTTGAGAACTCTTTATTTACACTACTAATCCTCTGAGGCAAACATAGATGCTGAGGCACAAAAAAAATAAGTAAGTCCAGTCTCAGAATTGGGACGGGACCCAGGAAGTCTGGTTCCAGACGTGCCGCTGCCCTTGCCAGGCCTGAGGAGAGCAGAAGGGTCCATTTCTGTAATGTTTTAGCCAGCAGTGAGCAACTGCGGTTGCCTGGTAGTCACAGTACCAGGCCTCCCTTCTACATAATGTGATAAATTTTCAAATTAAATCTTTCCACTGGTGTACAGCAGAGATAAGAGGAAGGGAGAGCCACCTCCATAAAACTCTCCTCCGAGGAGGCCAAGGCCTGCTGCACAGCAGAAATGACACCCTATCTCCTCTAAAGGATGAGGAGGCACTTTCTGGAGGCCACAGCCCAGGCCCTGGTCACCTCTCAGACCAGCTGTCACCCATGCCCAGGGCAAGCCATTTGTCTCCATCCACTCAAAGACACTTCTTTACACACCTCCATCTTTACATAAGATATTGCCTTAATCCTTAATTAAAGTATTTAAAAAGAAGAGTAACAAAATTTAGCATGTTATGAAATAGGTCCCACGATTCAAGAAGTCAATTTAAAAAGCCCTATTTAATAAGTTGAAAAATAAAAGCCTATTTAGACTTTCACTTTTAATCACAGGCCAAGATAAATTCCAGATGTATTAACCGCCTTCACAGATGGAGAGAGAGCCAAGGCTGGCCAAGGCAGGCACCAACGCCACTCATGGCAATTCCCAGAGCCCCCAGGGCGGGTGGATGGCCAGCTTGGAAGACGCTGCTCAACAGCAGAGACTGGCATGATTTCCAACTCTGCAGTCAACGCCGTGTGTATCCTCCGCAAAGGGCTCTGTTTCTCAGTCCTCAACTTTCAGTTTGTAACAGGTGGGTGACGATGGTACCAGCATTGGGGGAAAGAACACGCATTATACACTGGAAAGTGCCTTCCCAATTAACGTAAGGAATAAGGACCAGAGAGCTTCACTCATCCGTGTTGCTGCTCCTTGAAATGCTTAACAGTAATATTTTCATGCGCAAAACAATGCCAAGTTTCTTACTAACCAGCTTTATTTAATAAAGTAGAGCACTTACGTTGTAAAAACATACACTTTTCCTCAAGGCCTCAGTAAAGTTATTTTAATTTGGAATGGGAAAAAGATGCAGCCCATAAACATGTTTATTTTTCCTGAATTGGCCCTTTTAACAGGAAAGGCCTGGCTGGCGGGGCAGCTCTGAGTGACCTGGGCGTCTTTCTCGCGGCCACTTCTGTCAGGGGCCCACAAACAGGGGAGAAGCCCAGAGCCCTTGCAGGAGGGGCGTGAGAGAAAGTGCACCCCATAGGGGAGCAAAAGCCTGAGAATTAGAAACACCCGAGGTGACCCTGAGCAACCTGTCTTTGCCTTGTCTCAAAGGCTGGGGACGCCTGTCCTACTGCACAGATAAAAACACTAAAGTGAGGAGCGCACGGAGCCCTGAGCTCCCAACTGCAGGTGGTTTGTCAGACCCAGAGTCCAAAGCAAGTGCTTTGCTTTCTGTCTTTCCCGCCTCCCTCGTGCAGCTGCACCTTTCCTGGCTTCTCTAACAAGACTTCTCTCCCCACCCCAGGAGGACCCTTCAGCATCAAAGCACTTGCCATTGGTATGGCCAGTCACTCACACTGCTGTCCAGGGCTACCACAACCCTCCACCACCACCACCCCTGCTTCACCCACTCCTCTGTCTTCGAGGCCACTCGGCCCTGCTCGGAACCCTCCACTTCTTCAGCAGTGGCTGAGCCAAGGCTCACACCAGGCCAAGGCTCACACAGGCCAAGGTGCGGAAGAGACGAGCTTCACTCCCTTCTCCACCTTCACCACTGTAGTGAGCCCCACACACACCGTGGTGGGTATCAACCAACACTGGACTGAGGGTTAGGCTACGGCCATGTGGAAGGCTGGGCCCATGACAGGAGTGCCTGCCTAGTGGATGTAACACCATGGGTTCAGTCCCAGCACCACAAAACTAAGGATGATGCTGACAACAAATAAAGTATTACAGCAGAACCATGAAACTGATTGTAGTTACCAGTCCTGTACCTCCAGGTGTAAGAGACTAAGGAGTACATATAGTTGCAAGCTGGCATAAATAAGGTCTCATACTGTTCATTCAGGTTAGCTCAAGTTTAAAGCACTTAGTCGCTGACTAGTACTGGAATGGTTTATAAGTTCCTCACAGTTTCTTTTCAGTCTTACTACTTTGCTGTCCTCTGCACTTAGTGCTGAGTGTGTGTGTGTGTGTGTGTGTGAGTGTGTGTGTGTGTGTGTGTTACTGGGGATTGAACCCAGGGACCTCACACTGAGCTACCAAATGTTTTTTGGTGGGTTTTTTGTTTTTTCTGGTGTTTTGCTTGTTTGTTTGTTTTTACAGTCTCAATAAATTGATAAATTGCCCAGGCTGGCCTCAAACTCAGAATCTTCCTGCCTCGGGCTCCTCAGTACTGGAATTACAGGTGTGTGCCACCATATCCCACTTAAATGCTAAGTCTTGAGGCTGTCAGCCCTCTAAACGACCCTCATTTTGCCTGGCCTCCTAAAACAACCATTTCATCACTTTTCTTTCCTGTGTGCCACAGGGATCCTACAATATCTATCAGACTTGTGTGGTTTCTTCCATCTTTCACCTTGCTTTGTCTTCTGTCTTCTGTTACATATCTACTAATATTCATGTGTTCTTTTTTTTTTTTTTGAGACAGGGTCTCACTATGTAGTTCAGACTCACCTTGAACTCACTGACCTTGAACTCACTATGTAGCCCAGGCTGGCCTTGAACTCTTGGCAAGCCTCCTGCCTCAGCCTCCTGAGTCCTGGGATCTCAGGCATGTGCCACCATGCCCCACTCATGTCTTCATTTTTTAATGTTCCATTTTTGGTTCTTTTTGCTACTTAATATGAGGAGCATAGCACATGCATGTAACCCCAGAACTTGGGAGGTTGAGGCAGGAGGATTGTTGCAAGTTCCAGACCACCCTGGGCTACAAAGTGAGCTCAAGTCCAGCGTGTACTGCATAAAAAGACCTTGTCTCAAAAAGACAAAAAAAGAAAAAAAAAGCTTACAATTTTAAAATATTTTTAACATTTTAAAAATACTTCTTTCTTTGCAATATCCTGTCCATGGCTTGATAATACAAATCTATACATTTTTTAAAGTAACTTCCATTCATTCACTCAAGAAATGTTTACTGAGTACCACCGTGTGCCAAGCATGAAGCTACAGTAGAGCTCATCTCACTTACACAGTTCATAATCTATAGCTTGGAACAGGCAATGAGATTCCATTCTATCCACTGGTCTACAAGAAACAAGAAACGGAATTTACTTAAAGAAATAGTTAGCAAAGACCTTTTATAGGGCACAGGAACACAAATTTTTTGGTTTTTTTCCAGTACCGGGAATCAAACTCACGACCTTGCACTTGCCAGGCAGGCGCTGTGCTGCTGAGCTAAATCCCCAGCCCCAACATGAATATTTTAAATCGTGTATTAAATCCAAGGTACAATTAAAAAGAAAAGATCTTTCCTCTATTTATGAATTGTATTAGTAATTTATAATTACAACAAAAAATATTTTCCAAACCTCACATCCACTGTATTATTCGACTCATGGTCAAACACTTCAAATGCCTCTTTGATTCTTTTGTGAAATTCTGCTACTTTTACCTCTGCAAAAGACAAAGTAAAACAAATTAGCTTAATTTGGAATTTGAAACAAAAATCCCAATGACAGGACTAGAAATCTTAACAAGGAAGAACATAAGGGATTCTTTCCTGATCGCCTTATGTATTGTTTAGCCTGTTTAACTCCCTCTAGATTTAAAAAATAGAATGGGCCATTTAAAAAAAAATTTTCTGAAGCCTAACACCAAAGCTATTTTAACCTTAAGCACACAGTCATTGGGTTTTTACACATGTATATGCACATGGAAACATCGAGCTCTAAACAGGAGACTATTTCCATCCCATCTTCCGTAGTTTGGATAGAATCCTAGCCGGAAGCAGAGTAAACCCATCAGCTCCTCCAGAGTGTGCCCTGCCCGCCCTGCTTCACTGGATGCTTCAGGGGACAAGAGGCACAAAAATTCCAACATGTGAAATTCCCTCACAGAGCTTTCAGACAAGTTTGGGGCTACTCCTTACACACTGAGTGCTTATTATGCGTCACTCATGGTACAAAAATAATAATACAGGGCCAATGCCCTGGCTCAGGGGCAGGGCGCCTGCCTAGCATGGGTAGGGCCATGGGTTCCACCCTCAGCACAGCAAAACAAACAAACAAAAATTATAATTGCCAGTTACTTCACTCAAATGTTAATTTTTCCAGGTTGCAAAATACTCTACATAATCTTCCATTTTAACAGAACCTTAAGGAATGTACCACAATGTATTGATATAATTAATTCTTCTTTATTATAAATAATATGGCAGTGGGAAACATTCAAACTTATCAAAAAAATGAACATTAGCTCATTCTTTAAATTTACACTGCTTTGATTAGAAGCAAGTCTGAATAATGGTCCGTGTATCTTGTTGCTGCCTCTGGTTTTGGTTATGAACGGTTTGCCCATGGGATTTGCTCTTCCCTATCTTCAGTTGTTTCTTAACAATGTGTAGAGCACTTAGAGAAACAGAACACTTAATCCTACGTCAGAATTACTGCAAACAACTGTCAAGTCCAGGTGTTTGCATTTATTTTCTAAAATGAAAACAGCTCTACTTCTTATCTGATCATCAAAATCATACACAATTACTGCAGCGTAGGCCAGGGGAAGAAGGATGTGGGAAAGTTTTAAGTAAAAATCTTCAGATCCTACCATTCTGAGTTAACTACTCTTCATATTGTCCTCTAATCTAACACATCACTCAAAAATAAATGTGAGCATTCTTCATCTTCAAAAAATATCTGTTAGATTGCCATTTTTAGTGACTGCTTGGTATTTGATTACAGAGCACTATCAAAATTTATTTAACAGTAATGATATCTTCGGGAAAATCTCCCTGGCTATAATAGTGCTCATAGCTGGCATCTGCTTTTTAAATTTAAATAGATAAAGTATATTATCTTTGATCACAAAACTTGCTTTTTCAATTATCACCTGTCAGGAATAATTAATTACTTAAATAAGATCTAGACCTTCCCTAGCTCAGGAATCCTGACCCACTCACTGGGCACTGGTCCAGCGTGAATGGGTCACAGGGCCCTGGAAAATGGCTCCACTTGTCTCAGTGTGGCCAGATGAAAGAGTCTATGCCCGGGAGGAGGCCCACAGCACCACGGCAGAGGACAAACACCAATGTAAACAAAGTTTCTCACTGGTAGAAAACTACAAAAAATAGAGGGACCCATACTAAACATTTCATCAGGAACTGAATATAACCACTTCAAGCATAAAACCTGATACAGTAACACCTTGGATTGTGAGTGACTTGGGCTGCAAGTGTTCTGCAAGATGAGCAAACATTTCTAATAAATGTTAACTTGATAAATGAGTGATGTCTTGCAATATAAGTAGAATGTAAGTAGTATGTGAGTCAAACATCCTATCACAACTGAGCCAATGACCTCTTTCTCTCTCCCTCTGTCTCGC